TGAGACCTTTGGCTGAAGCTTCGAAGTACCTTCTGGCCGCTTGGATGTCCCCGTGGAGAGTGGCGACCAAGCCTTCGGCGGTGTAGTACTTCATCTTGAGATGAACGGTAGAAGGGACTAGGATGAGTTCAGCGAGAGTGGGTCTCCCGAAGATGCAATGATATACATACGGGAAATTTACCACCAAGAATTGGGTCTTGATGGCTCGGGCCGTTGCCCCTCTCTCGAATGTGACGATCAACTCTAAATATCCCCAGGGTTTTGTGTTGGCTTCATTGAAGCCCTGGAGAACAGATCCCACATAGGGGGTTAGGTGGCTTTCATTCAGCTGTAAGATGGTGAACAGCTGGGAATACATGATGTCCACCAAACTCCTCTTCACTGATCCAACTGTGTGCCTGTTGAACCCTCCATTAGAGATGACCATGATTTCGGGGAAGGATTTCCAAGGACTGTGGGAGGAGAAGTACAGGGGGACGTTCTCTATGTCCTTATAATAGAAGTCTTCTGGTCTTGAGATGCTCATGGCGACCGAAATGGGGTCGAGGTCGGGGGATTTCTTCCCTTCCTCGACATTTTTGGTTTCTGGTGCTTCATCATGGGCACCCTCCTTCTTTTTATACTACTTGAGGTGCTTGTCTCTGGTCAGTATTTCGATTGCATCCTTGAGATGAATGCAATCCTCCATGTTGTGCCCGTGACTCTTGTGGAACCTATAATACTTTCTCTTGTCGGTTCTCGGCTTAGACGGTGTTTGTCGGGGGAAGCGCACCCCGGCTTTCTTGAATTTAGAATTGGCGCATTCAGAAAGAATATGCTCCCTTGAAGTTGTCAGAGGGGTGTAGTCGTGGAAACGACCGACTGGCCCCTTGTAGTCTTTTGAATCACGGGACTTGTCCTCCTGTTTCTTCTCTCCCAGACAGGATGTCGAGGGCTCATCGTTCTTCGAGGACTTGGAACTGTCTATATGCCTAGATTCCCGGACGTTGTTGGTCGCTTCCTTCTCCTCGTACTGTAATACACTTGGGCCTTGAGGAGGAGGGAGCCGAGCGTAGCCGGTGTCTCTATGCCTACAACTTTGGCAAAGTCACTGTGGGGGCAGAGCTCACGCTCGAGGAGATACTTCTTCATGTTGTCTATTGTTGGGACTTGGACCGCTTCCTTATTGAAGTGTTCAATATATGCCCGTAGAGACTCGTCCCTGCTCTGTATGATTGCTTCGAGTGAAGCCTCTGATTTCGGGTGTTAACGGAAGGCGGTGAAATGCCTCAAAAATATCCTCCCGAGCTGCTTCTATGAGGTGATGGATTCATCGAGGAGGCTCTTGTACAATGACATTTCCCCCTTCCTGAGAGTGATCGATAAGAGTCTGCATTTGATGGCTTCCCTAACCCCTCGGTAGTCGAGGAGAGCATCGATATTCTCGATGTGCTCGTCAGAGTCTGTTGTTCCATCGTAGGTTCCAAAAGTAGGCGGCTTCTCTAGGCTGATAGGGCGTGGAGCTTCGGTAATCTCCCTCGATAGCAGGCCACGAGGCTCGTCTTCCTCGCTATCTACGGGGAATGGAGAAGGAGAATGGTAGTTTCTTCCCCGTCGATCGTCACGGTCTCGTCGGGGGGAGGGGCTCCTTCGTTTCTGCTTTGGCTCGGGGGAAGGCAGTCGAGCGCTGTCGATTTTCTTGTTGTCTTTCCTCTTCTTGAATGAAGGGGATTCTTGATCTTTGATAGGAGGTGTGCAGTTGCATTTCTTGACGAAAGAAACACCGTGCCTCTCCTTTCTGGGTGGTGGGCCACGCCTGGGTGGCGAAACACTGGGGGAGTTTCGTTGTCGGGTTCTTTGAGAAAGAGATCTTGATCGCATGTTCTCCCAGGCCCCTATCCTTTGATTTTGTTGTAGGATGAGGGAGTTGGTCTGATTGATAGCAGTGAGCAGTGCTGCCATGGCCAGGTCGGCGTTGAGAGGGATGGGAACTAGTTGCATGACTTATTGCAGTTCCTCAGTGGAATTTTTGGGTTGTTCATTGTCAAAGAATTAGTCGTCACCGCGTCGGGCATCCGTTGAATCTGGAGACGCAGTTTTTCCGTCTCGGAAGGCCAGGTTTTCTTCGGGGTGAGGATGTTCCTGACTTTCATCGGCTTTGCGGGCAAGGGAAAGAATGGTCTTTCTGGGAAGATGAAGATCATCATGGCCGGTCATGATTAGGGAGAGGAATCTTGAAAAAGTTGCTTTGATCTTAAGTTTCGAGGAAAGAAAGATGGGGAGAGCAGATTCCCACAGACGGTGCCACTGATCTTACCGGTTGATCAGAACCTGAGAAGTGGCTGGAAGATGATCTGTAGTCGGGATATGAAGTTGAGGAGAAAAGGGGGTACTACCTACAAGGCACTTCGACGATCAAGTAAGAGTGGAAACAAGGAGGTACAAGCAAAGTATTAGGTGGTGAATGATAAGTATTCAATACCTGGCCCTCACAAGTGTGAAGGTATATATAATGCCTTTGGTGCATAGCTATTGGTTCCTGATTTCACGCCTGAATATGCGGGTCCGTAAAATAAGGTAACTGCCAGGATTTGATCAAACGGGCAGATGTGCTTGTAACTAGTCTATAGTCCCGAGGAGGGGGTTAGTTCGGACATCTCTCTAATAGATTCCTGGTGGCATGCACGACGTTGATGTCGGGCAGGCTGAGAGGATGCTCGTCGATCACCCTGGATCAGTGCTGGTTCGAGAGGACAAACAGGTGACATTGCTCGACAGGTAGCAGACAATTCGGATCATAGTCGCGTAGACCGTACCAAAAGAAATGTCTTAGACTAGATCTATTCTAGCTGTCGAGCCAGTACAGAACTATATATATATATATATATATATATATATATATATATATATATATATATATATATATATATATATATATATATATATATATATATATATATATATATATATATATATATATATATATATATATATATATATATATATATATATATATATATATATATATATATATATATATATATATATATATATATATATATATATATATATATATATATATATATATATATATATATATACTAATTAACTAACAAACTCTAATTAATTTAAACTTAGTATTAGATAATCCAACTTACATTATATCACAACAAAAATTATATATATAAAATTTATGTACTAATAAACTAAGAAACCCTAATTAATTTAAACTTAGTATTAGATAACCCAACTTACATTATATCACAACAAAAATTTAAATGGAGTAAAACTCTAATCACTATTATAAGTTATTGAACTCCAAAAGTATGTGTAAGGTTTGTCTTATTGAACTCCAAAAGTATGTGTAAGGTTTGTCTTTGGAGGATTTTTCAACCATCGCGATCCTTTGCACTCCTTAAAATATAGGCTTATAAAGTCTTAACCATACTGGAGTACATTTCATGATTGTTAAAACAGAAATGCTATTCTTACCCAACAATATCCACCAATATTTACACAAAAATATTATTCACTGTATTTTTTTTTAAAATAAAAAATATATATTTATAAATAGTAATATGAATGGTACATAAACAGTTACCTTAGCACGGTACCCATGAACAGTACCGTGAAAAATAACGTTTAATAATAAAATAAAGTTGATTAATAAAATATAACAAATAAGTTAATAAATTAATAAAACCGATTAATAAATCTCCTGATATTAAATATAATTTTTAATATTAAAACAAAATTGATTAATTAAATATAAAAAATTAATTAATAAAATAATAAAGATGATTAATAAATGCACAAATATTAAAATTAATTTTTAGTATTAAAACAATATTGATTAATAAAATATAAAAAATTGATCAATCACATCATTTAAAAAAATAAAAAAATAAAAAAATAAAATTTATATTTACAAAAATTAATATTTTATTATTATAATATTTCATTGTCCATTATATCGATGAACATTAAAATACGTTATAAATATAACTATTGGTGTAAAAATAATATTTTTTTTGTCAAAATAATGAAAAAAGTAAAATCAAATGGTGAAATTAATTATCGTAAGAGTCTACCAACAATACCTAACTGTATTTCTAATTACCTGCCCCCTATTTTTACCCAACTCAAACTCAATCATTCCATAATTATTGGAGACATGAAGTGAGTTCATAATAAAGCAGTCATTAATGAATGCATTACTTGTTATATTCTCCCTATTTAAAATAGTTGTCGTTTTAATAAATAAATTTAAATTTTATTTTAAAATGATTGTTATTTTCAATTTTTAATATAACAGTAATTATTATTTTTTCAATTCTATTCTTTATTTTTTATTTTCTATACTACAACATCATGATATTGTTCAATTTGTGTATAAAAATTTTAAACGACAGTCATTTTAAAACATAGGAAATATCTTTTTATATATATATATATATATATATATATATATATATATATATATATATATATATATATATATATATATATATATATATATATATATATATATATATATATTATACTTTAGAAACACAAAAAATATATATAAATTTTATTGCATCTCTTATTATTTTACTCATCTAGATGCAATGTTAGACTAAGCAATGACTGAAGACTTTTCTTACTAGATAAGGATAAGGTAAGGTTAACATATTGAGCATAATTTTTTGGTGATCTAAGAAATATTCAGCTTCTGCTGCTGCATAAAACTTTGACATATCTTATATGTATAAAAGCTCCCCCAAATTCTCATAGCTTCAAAAACTATATATTTACAAGTGATGAGTTCTTCTAAATATATGATTAAGCATCAACTAAACTAGTGCTTTCTCCTCTACAAATATCTATGATTCATGTGTGGATATCCTTATCCCTTCAAACTTCAAAATATATTTATACATTGAGGCTCATAGATAGAATTGTAATTGAGCACTGTGATTTGTGACTTTTTTTCTAACAAAAATTGTTCTATATAGAAGAAAAATAAAACTACTGGAACTTTAATTATGGATTGGTGGATTCTTTGATGCAGGTGTATAGTCCATTGTATCCAACAAATCATCATTTTTTACTTGTGTTTCTGTCCCTTCATGGTTTGGCTTAAACTCACTACTTTGACCCTGTTCACCTCCTTCTTTAATCTCTCTCAAGTTTCTAGCTGCAAAATACCAAAAGAAAACATACATAAATATGGCAAAACTTTTTTTTGAAACGGATATGAATCTGAATCCTCTTTATCTTCTGTTGTATCATGCAACAGTCGTAAAAATATTCTTACGACAGTTGTATCATACAACAGTTATTTGCAGAGGATTCAGTCTAAAGTGGAACTAATCTTACCTCGAACTGTGGTTGAGATGAAAAAAAGCAACAAAAATGCAATAAGAAAAAGACGCTTGTTTGGAACAAAAGCCATATCTAAATAACTCAAAACTCTAGGAGTATATTCTATGGTTAAAGTATAAAAACTATGAAGTTTTGAAGCTGCATAAGATATGGTCTAGTTGGTGTCTTTTTATAGGGAAGGAGTTAAGTAAAGTAGTAATTGGCAAGAGGGTGTATTTGTGAAAGACAAGAAAAAAATTTGTTGTGATTTTAGGTTCAAATCAATGTCTCCTACTTTGTCCTCCCTGAAAATGACAACACTTTTTGCTTTGAATACAGGATCCAACTTAAGGGTTCCATTCCCTTAGTGTCCCTCAAATATTTTGCCACTTAGCTATTAAAAATACACCAAGTTAAAGTGTTAGAGTGAAAAAGAAGAGGAAGAGAAAACAAAGAAACATGTTTTAAGGAGAGGTGGGGGCTCCATTCCTTGTATACAGGAGAATTGTAAGGGTTCCAAGCTTACAACACAGGTAGGGTGAATTTTACATTTATATACTGACAAATAACAATGACTTGTTAGTCTTTATATAGGCAATTTATGAGACCAGACATAAATCCAAATATTGAGATAGTTAAATGTCTTTTATTTTTCTGTCTTATTAACTGCTTGAATTTAACCAATCACGTAGTTAAAATGTCTTGGTTTGATTCATGAAAAGAAAGAGACTAAATTTCCCTAATATTGATGTATTATATAGGGTCATGTGTTATCTTTCTTGAAAATATCATCATCTCAAATATTTGATATGTTTGTTACAGTTTAGTTACAAACATATTCTAGAAATATCAAAACATAAAATATTTACAAACAGGTTCCGCTTATAATAGATTTTATGTTTTAAATCAACATTATAAATGTATAAATATATAAAGGCTAAGTGTAACTCAAAATTGTACTATGTGAATAAAATCTCACTTTTTCATAGACACGTCAACGGGTTGGAATAGTTTTTACTTCTCCTAAATTTAAATTTAAATCTCCAATCAATTTATGTGTTTTATGCCTTAATCACTAATAGAGATGAAGAATTAAAATTTAAACTCGTCCCAAAAGAATTTGGATTGTGTTTGAATATCATCGTTCCGTCATAATTCATATAGTGAAATCGAATTTTTATATTAAAATATTCAGTTTTTGAACCTCAAATTATTTTATAAACGGTAAAATAAATATTCTCAAAAATTTTCATACATACATTTAGTATAATAAATATATTCACAATATCAAAATATTGACTATGTATTTAATATTTTAAATTATCAAAATTAAATAATAAACTACATAATAAAATAAACGGGATATGTCTGGGATGGATACTAGTGTTTGTTGGAACATGCAATCACAAGATTGATAAACAATAGAGAATTTGAGTACGTGGAGAAAGAGAGATTGGGAGAGAAAAGAGTTAGATAGAGAGATAATTGAGAGTGAGAATTATTGATTTCATTCAATGTTTATTACAAACATACCACTAGGGTATTTAAACAATCATTGAGATTCAAAAACATCAAGCCAAAAGTCAGAAAAAGAAAATTGTCGGGCATGTAACAGGTTACACTTGCTAATACCAGAAAAATAACTATCAATTGTAATCATTTATTGCGTTTACGTAACCAGTTACACCAACTCCAAAAGCACTTTTTTGTAGCTTATTTGACCCTTTTTTGATGCCTATAACCGACTACACCTCGTGTTAACCGACTACACCAACTTGAATTATCAAAATCTCTTAACACATCACATTAATTCAATTCCTCCGGGTCTTCCATGCTCATGTACATCTTTAACCTTTTGAACACAATATTTGTGACTCCCTTAGTCAACAAATCAGTCATTGGTCTTCACTTCTACAATATCTCAACCTTAACTTTCCTTCATTAACAAACTCCCTCAAGTTGTGAAACTTATCTCAATATTCTTGCTCCTCTCATGTGTAGTTAGGTTCTTAGCAAGATTAATTGCGAAAACGTTATCAATTGGGAGTTTAACAACCTCACCCTAACGGGTGCCTAGCTCCTTCAATAGATTCATTAGTCACACAACTTGGCACACACATAACAAAGAGACAATATGCTCTGCCTCATAAGACGAGAGTTCCACTACCGGTTCCTTCTTCAAACACCATGAGATTGATGTTTCGTCGAACATAAAGATGTATCCAACTGTAGAATTTTGATCATATTTGTCTGCCCATAAATTTGACATATCTCAGGATACTTTTGAATGCTTCCAAGTGAGACACCTTTGGTCTCTCCATGAATCTACTTGCAATACTGACACTAAATGCCAAATTTAATCGTGTATTACACAAGTAACGTCAGGATCCAATTAATATTCTATATTGAGTTGGATATACATTTTTCTCATCTTCATTCTTTGACAGTTGCGTCCTTGGTTTAGCTAGTGTAACGATAGCATTACAACGCTCCATTTCATACTTCTCCAATATCTTAAGAGCATATTTTCTTTGGTGCATAAGCAGTCCCCTTTTGAACTTATGGAACTCTATGCCAAGGAAGTATGTCATGATACCATGGTCACTCATCTCGAATTCTTTTATAAGTTCACTCTTGAAATTAGAAATACTATTCTCATCGTTGTCCTTAATCAGGAAATTGCCTATATATAGACAAAGAATAACCATTCCTTCATTTGTATCAATCTTCGCATAAACGACATGTTCAGAGACACATTTATTGAAGCCAACATTCTTTAGGAAATCATATATCTTTTGTTCTAAGCTCTCGGAGCTTGTTTCAATCTGTATAGCGCTTTTCTCAACTTATACAACCTTCCTTCTTGGTTTTTCACAACAAAACCAGGGGCAATTCTACATGCATTTCTTCTTCAAGTAGACCGTTCAAAAATGCGTATTTTACATCCATTTGATAGATGGACCAATTATTGTTATTCGCAATTCCAACAACTAGCCTTATGGTTTCAATTCTAGAAACTGATGTAAATAACTCTTCAAAGTCTATGTCTTCTCATTGCAAAAATCCCTTTGCAACTAATCGAGCATTATGCTTGATTATTTCACCTTTGGGATTTTCCTTCAACTTATAGAACCGTCTTACACCAATCGGCTTCTTTCCATTCAGTAGATCAATCAACTCCCAAGTATTATTTTCCTCAATCGATTCTAGCTTCTCATTTATAGCACAAATCCACTTTAGATCACTCAAGACCTCTTTCTTCTTAACAGGCTTCGATTCAGTCATAAGTGAAAAATAGACGAAATCCCTGTCATCATTGACCTCGTTGTCATAGAACATCTTGTAATCTTGGAGTCTTAGAGGCAGGCGCTATTGTCTAGTTGGTCTTCTTACATTTTCATCATGTTTGGGCTTTGACGCCCGACACTTGTTCACTTTATGTTTCTCCAAAATCTAAAATTTTGAAGTTGTAACCAGTTACAGGCTGTTGGTAACCAGTTAATGTCTACTTGTAATCGATTACAGGTTGCTCGTAACCGGTTACAGGTGGCAACAATTTCTTCAATTCATCGACCATAACGTCTCAACTAATCATAATCTTTTTGTTTGTAACATCATACAACTTGTAACCTCTATTGTTATGATACCTTACAAGTATCATCATATATCCCTATTATTGTACCCCAAAATTTTCCCTCTCATTTCTCAACACATTTCTCACCAAAAGTCTCAAATGCTCAAAGGTTCAAGAGTTGATCAAACAAGTTCACCTCTTAAGCATTGAGCCCACAAATTAGGGTTTTGGTTTTCTCAAGGACAATTGGAGTTTTTATGCCTCAAATGACTTTCATGGTTCATTATAGGTCTCCAATATTTCTCATACCAAGTTTCAAGTCTTGCATCACAAAATTGCTAGTCAATAGCGCAGATGACTGAAAATCAATTGTATTGGGCAAAGAGTCAACTGTGGTCAATCTACAGTCAAACTTTATGATTTTTGGTCCCCATCAACATTTTTAGGTCATATTTATCAATTTATCAAGAGTTTATCACAATTCCTCAAGAAAAGCATTCAAATCATCAAAGGAGCAAAATGGTCAAAATTATGGTTTTGATTGAGAATGGTTGATCAGTGACTTTTGACCAAGTACATGACCTAATGGTTTGAAGCATGATCTCAAGGATTAAAACACGAAATTTTGACCTAACTTCATGGCTCAATTCATTTCTCAAGATCAATGGTTTGATAGTTGAATTTTGGACCAACTTATGGAAAGTCAACTAATACAAAAAAGTCAAAACTTTGACTTTTTGGTCAACATTACATTTCAAAGATCAAAATTCATCAAGACATTAAAAAATATCAAACTTGATCATCAAGAATCAATAAAGTCAATAAAGTCCACAAAAATTCAAAGTTTTCAATACTTAGAAATTTTCTAAGTGTTTTTTATACTTGATAAATTCATTATTTCATGACATTTTTCACCAAGATGCAAGATGATTCAAGGAAAACTTTCAACATGAAAGTTGTAGATCTTGTTGAACTATATAACCTTGTATTATAGGGTTGATGTCTAAAAAATTCTTAGATTTGAAGATATCGGCTCATGAAGTCATGACACTTTTGTATAAACACTTAGAGAAATTTTCAACAAGTTTGGTCAGATTTTTGTCCCGACTTCTTGGCCTATTTTCATCAAGTTCCAACTTGATTTAGCCAAAGTGGTTAACATGAACATTATAGATAATGTTTCAATATTTTCAAAACATCTAAGAGCATGGACTTATCATACTTGAGCTAGGAGATTCAAACACATGAAGTTGGGCATCCATTCTTGAATTACAAGTCATTTTGGTGAAGAACACATAATCCAATATGCATGCTATGTTGCATAATCTTGATTTGCAAGCCTCCTAACTTGTAAATATCACCATAATTAAATGTTTACACAAACATTTGAGCTATGTTCCATTTGATTTAAGCATTGTCCAAAGCATAATTCCATTAATGGCACAAAGTTAACACTTCCATTTTTGAAAAACATGCTTTTGCTATATGTCAATGCATTAAGCTTTGTAATGGTTATA